GTACTGAAGTGCTTTACTGTATCGTATATTTTGTTGTAATATAAAACAAATCTTGTTTATGTACTGAAGTGCTTTACTGTATCGTATATTTTGTTGTAATATAAAACAAATCTTGTTTATGTACTGAAGTGCTTTGCTGTATCGTATATTTTTGTTTGAGAAATTTTCCATCCCTAATTGTTTTTTTTTCTATGGTTATTTGTTGTTTTAGATTAAAATATGTTTTTATGTTTCTGTTTAGCCCATCACGTGGAAAAGTCTTTTGGTGACCTTTGGTATTGGAGGGATGTTTTTAATGGGAATGCAGTATGTAAAAAATGAAAAAGAACTGGGTAAGTTTTAAGCTGTTATTGAAAACTGCAAAAACAGTGTCATTGAAGGTCATTTGATTGAAAATTGTCCACTGAACTCATTATGCCTATCTTTATTGACTAAATCTAAAGACTTCAGATAAAACATGTTAACTTAATGTGATTCTTTAAACATCCTGTAGGATATGAAATGTTCATTAGAGAATGTTTATAAATCAGTTTGTAGACATGGATAGTGTTATATTGTCAGTCAGAGTCGTAAAGCACCACATTCTGTGTGTTATATTGTCAGTCAGAGTCGTAAAGCACCACATTCTGTGTGTTATATTGTCAGTCAGAGTTGTAAAGCACCACATTCTGTGTTATATAGATAGTCAGAGTCGTAAAGTATCACATTCTGTGTGTTATATTGTCAGTCAGAGTCGTAAAGCACCACATTCTGTGTGTTATATTGTCAGTCAGAGTCGTAAAGTATCACATTCTGTGTTATATTGTCAGTCAGAGTCGTAAAGCACCACATTCTGTGTGTTATATTGTCAGTCAGAGTCGTAAAGCACCACATTCTGTGTGTTATATAGTCAGTCAGAGTCGTAAAGCACCACATTCTGTGTTATATTGTCAGTCAGAGATGTAAAGCACCACATTCTGTGTGTTATATTGTCAGTCAGAGTCATAAAGCACCACATTCTGTGTGTTATATTGTCAGTCAGAGTCGTAAAGCA